TGTGGTTGCTCCCCTGAGCCATGTGACTGAAGAGCACATGATTATCACGTGTCAGGGCACCGATCCCACAAAATGTTTCCTGTCAGTATGGTGATGGAGTACAACATAAGCGAAACAAAATTCTCCACAGTGACGTGTTCGTCTCGGGAGATGGCTGATGTCTTGCGTGATGCTATTTTTTGTTTGTTTAAACGTGCTTTGTACATATCCTTGACGTCACGTGGCCCAACGTGCTGGTAACACAATTTCGGTTCAGTTCAAAATGCCGATCACAACAGCCGTCATGTTTGCGTTCAGTTCCATCCTGCTGCATGCTTCATCCTTTGTATACATTACGTTATACACATTTGGAGATTTTGGATTTTGGGATACTGTATAATTTGATCTGTCATCTACACCTTAGTTTCGAAGTTGAAGGAGAAACTATCCGTCGGATGAATATGTTGAATAATGGTCGTTGGCTTGTTCGTTTTCTCACTAAGTTCACACTGTTTGTAGCTTTCTTCAATTACCTTTCAATTCAGTCGGGCTTCAGGTGGGTTATAGCCGTCCCGTCGACTCGACAAGCTTGCTTACTTTCACAATAGGACACACGTACATCTTACGCGGTGGTAACCCGTTATTTTGAGAGTAGTGTTACGTGTGTTTTAATATACGTTTTGGTAGACGGGGGTGACCCTTGACCGCGATTAGCTGTTCGGTCGGACAGTTCCAGTGGTTACTCTGTTATCCCATGTCCTCATTCGCCGATGCCCAATTGACCTTTGAAATTGGCATCCCCGTCGTAATCTAGTCAATGTTGGAGTGAAAACGCGAAAATTTTGGCATACGGAGACATGCAACACGGAAGAGGATTTCCGGAAGCATGGTACACTACGGCAGATTCGATCAACCGGTGCATCGAACTGGATCCAATTTACGCACCTCTACGCGCAAAAGACCAACATCTTAGCTGGAACACTCAATGAGGACCGAATATTGGATTCATCAACGAAGAAACAAGGAACTCCTCGGAGTCAAATCAACAGAGGCCACAAGCCGGAACTCGGAAGGACAAAGTTGATTCCAACACAGGTTACAACGGCGAGGGGTGCCAATCTAATAGGTCACGTGGGCATCGGCGAATGACACGGGATAACAGAGCAACCAAGGTAACCGCCCGACCAAACAGCTAATCGCGGTCAAAGGTCATCCCCGGCTAACAGCTTGTATATTCACACACGTAACACTACTCAACGTACAACCACTAACCCACGGCTACGCAAAACTACACTCCCCAATAACGCACTGATTATGTCCCCTCGATTAGTGATGAAACATTCGCAATCAAATTGCTCAGCTTAGCGAACAAGCAAACGACCATCTACGCTACCTGAGCTACCGAAATTCTTCTCTATGTTGAATAATCTCAACTTAAAGTTTCAATGCGTGCCGAGAATGTCGGTGAGTTTAAATCTAATTCGTGCACCAGTCTAAAGAGCGAGAGACGTTCTGAACACTATCCTACAAGGAGTACTCACAAGTGTTGAGAATTTTTGCCATAAGCTACTGTTTCTTGCAGTAATTTTGTCAAGGCGTAGCAAAACGGTTTATTCGAGGCCATTCCACAGGATTTCGGAATCACTTTGCATCTAAATGATTGGGCGCACTACTACGTTGGTTTCAACGACAACCTCACTTACTGGCCTCCGCATGTCTCTGCGAAATACAGGGGCAGAACAACTCCATGTGGCATCCAGACTATCCTCTGCTAACGATACCGCGAGATTCAATCTTTTTTTTCACGCGGAGAGTTAAGTGTTTCAGTCCGATGGACTGTGGAAATGAAGAATCGTGGGTGTGACTGCAGCTAGCTATCAACACGGTGAATTTGGAGAGTGACGCGACTGCTACCAGCAAACATTACGGGCAATCAGGTGTACATCGAGGTCTGGTCAAATTGCCAAATGTTCTTACTTGGATTCAGCCGCCGTATACCGATTCTTTTATTGTGAAATTCGAAATTGTTAATTATATATATATATATATCTCTGTCCGTGTAATGCAGTTACCTCCCACTCAGTGATAAGAGTTTGCCGTGGAATGTGTTGCAGAAAAGTACAACGTTCGTTACAAGCTGCTGTTTCCAGGACAGGAGTAGGCGGAGCGGAACACAATGAGATTGTCTCGACTCGTCCCAACGAAATTATTTGTGTCCTTCCGAAGAGAATGGAAAACGTACATCCTTGTTGTATCTGCCAGATTATTAATTCAGCTTAAATTATTTTATGATCTCTATAATCGTAGTGCAATGAAGCTGATGCTCGATGAATACCCCGTATACTTTCAGCAGAATGGAAAGGTGGACCATTTTGATTAGATTCAAAATGCACAATCGGTGACTGAGCCTTTATGCAACAAAACCTCCTTACACAGTGTTCCGACATTGTGACCGATGTGGGCATAATGCACTACTCATAGGGTCCTGAGTAGTGTATCGCGATATCTTGTGCCAACCGAAACATAAGGTGACCTGGTGCCGCAAAGTCAGTTGCTTAAAAACATCATAAACGAGAGAATCATCCGGGTCCTCGCAAGACAAAACTGGTTTGGAAATGGGTGTATTTCGCGAAATGTAACCGATTGTTTTAGTGGGCAAAATCTTTAACTATGTCACGGGATAGGCGAGCCCATAATCACCTGCCTCACCGGTAGATGAAATAATTTGTCAGATTTGTTATCACTTTTCACCAGGGCTTCTCAAATGTTGCTTAGAAAATTTAAGCTAGACAGCCGAATTGGGAAAAATGGCGATTATATTCAATTGAATGTTCATGTAACCAATCAAAATATTCCTGGCTACCACTTTGAGTCAACAAAATCCAGGAGTATAGGTCAGAATGGGAAGCCACGGACACGCTTGTTTGAAAAATGTGGGCTACCCGAATAGTTGTTTGAAACAAAAAAACGCCAAACCGATTCAGTTTTTCTTTTCGGATCAAAGCTACTCAGAACATGGATAATGCCATCTGTAATCAGAAGTCGGGCATTTCCGGAAAAAAGTTTCCTTCTCGCTCGAATTCAGCATGATCATAATTAACGGTTGACAAACTCGTCGTTCGCAGAAGTATAATTAGTCATCAGTTTCTTCCTAACGCAGTGCAGAGATGCAACTAAAAAAAGGCGAATGTGTCCGGAAACGAATGGGCTCACGTGACCAAATATGTAAGAGGAGACATATCCCCCACTTTCGACAGTCAAAACCCTGAAACTCTCGGTGATTATGACTCCAGACGTGTTTTGATAGGAAAATATGTGCACTGATGCTTGATATAGATTCTGTTCTGGAGCAATGCAGATGCAGTGCAAAAAACTGCTCACGAAATTTCAGCCAAAATCGCTTTTTCCAATAAACGCGTTGTATTTTTTGAATCGCCAACAAATGCGTGTGTGGAATAATATCCAGGCAGCTGTTTTGCAGGGATCGGTCGGTTTCTTTTTCAATTTTTGGGCGTTTATAGAGGCGTCCATAACTAGACGGATGCCGGCCACACTCCACGCTTGATGGATGCGAATGAATTCGTGTTGCACTGAGTGGCATTCACCTACTTTTGTTACTTTGATTGCTTCAGGCTCAGTCAAATTTTCCGCTGTGAAGTGACATGACTGAGGTGAGTTGTCTTGGGAACAATCAAGGTTAGGGAATTTTATCCGCGATGGTGTTTTTTCCGTGTGCGCGGTTCTTGGCTGACATACAGTTCTGCATGACCTTGAAACTCCGTCCTTGGACAGAATAATCGAGCAAATCCCAGAGATAAACGTATGCGAATACCTCAGGTATGTAAATTTCTGGATCAGTTAATACAATGCAAGCTATTCAGCAGCAAACCCAGGTAGTTCGAATACCATTTGGTTGTGTTTCGGTCACTTTACAATACATACGACTCAAGTAACGGTGTCATTAATATTTTCTAATACCTTAATTTCAATCATACCACATCGCAACCTCGTTGCTGTTTGCACATTACATGTGGTATTGAAACTCAAAAAACACCATGTATTCGCTCACCACGAAGAGACTTGGCTTTTAAGAAAATCATTAGTTGATCAGGCGTTGTCTCTGAGGCACAGTGTACGGTGGTGGGGAATCATAGGATGCGCGATTCGGATGGTGTCCAAGAGCGTCAACAATGCTACCTAGCAAAATCGATTGGTGATTAGAATTGGGCGAGTTTACGAGAACTCGGACAAACAGGAGTTTCAGCTTTTTACTGGTCAAGGAAAGAGCATCTTCCGTGTTGCATTGCGGACTAGACTTTACCTGGCTGGGAGAGAAATTGGTGTAGTGCCACTAGCCCGCCAAAATATGGGCGTTGTTCCAACCTCGATAGCCGTTTTATTGGTAGCTTCTTTGCCAGTGCCTTTTTCGCTTGTTTGGTCCCATTTCCAATGCGTCTGCTGTGTTTTTAAGAGACCATGATGCCTTCATCAAAACTGCTTGCAGCCGGAAGCTTGGTGTTGCCTCTTTCCGATTACCAACTTAATCACTTTGTTGAGTGTCATATGTTGCTCCTTTGTACACTGGTTGCGTATCAAAAGGATCGATCGGCATATCTCCTTCAATGTAGCTACAACGATACAAAATAAGTTCCTTTATGAAGGTCGAACATACTTAGCCTCGGTTTGTTGATCCTGGTTACTAAACTCAACCGAGTCTTGAAAGTGCCATCAGAGCGAATGCCCACAGGTTAGCTCTGCAAACAGACAAGAATATGACACGGATATCCTCAGTTCGCACGTACTACGTTTATGCGGTTAACTGTTTGATCTTTGTCAGCTGTCCCTAGACAAGGCATTAGAAACTGCGACTTTTTTGAGAATGTATTTCGAAAAATCCCGTTTAACATAGGAATAGACATGCTAGACAGATTCTCTTATAACAGCGAAAGCAGTGATGCTTACTGAAACGCAGAGATAATTCAAATGTCTTCTTGCGGTCTTGAATGTAACAACACGCCATCATGTCTGGACGTGGTAAGGCAAATGAAGAACTCGGGAAAAGAGGAGCGAAACGCCATCGCCAAGTTCTCCGGGATAACATCCAGGAGGTCACCAAGCCGGCAATCCACCACCTCGCTCGCCGAAGTGGTGTGAAAGGCATCCCCGGTCTGACTTACGAGGAAACCCGCGGTGTCCTCAAGTTGTTCGTTGAGAACGTCATCCGTGATGCCGTCACCGAGCAAGTCAAGCGAAAGAGCGTCACTGCCTTAAAACGCCAACGCTGCACTTTCTACGCCTTCGGTGGTTAATTCCGCTTTGGTCATTCCTTCCGCAAAAGAACACCACTTCATGCCATCCACTCTTAAACGGACGCCGTCTTCTGCACACGGAACCAGAGTCCAACAAAGTTCATCAAAATTAATTACATTGAATACGTGGTTTCGGATATTAGCAGTGTCACTGTGGTACGAATTACTGGAATTTACAACCCGCTAATAATTATTGGTCAGTATTGCAGATCAGTTTCAACTGGAGCCTCCTCATTTCGTTACGGATTTGCCCGCGTTCCTTGCTGTTGCCAAGAAGTATTCATCCAGGAGAATCTCTTCGCTGCACAGGGGATGTTAAAGTCGCCTACATTTCAATGTTTTGTTCACACAGAACGCTATGTTTTTTAAAAAAAATCGTTCAACTGTAAAACCCTTCCAGCGCCCAGTTGCCATGCCACCCGAAGGAAGCACGAGAGCTGAGATACTGCCAGATTGCCCAAGCCGAGACAGGGGAAGTTGAGAGGCAGGGGTTGGGTTCGAACCACGGACTTTCCGGCCAGTAAATTAACGCTCCAACCACTCGAGCCATCACAACTATTTCCCATCTGGCCGACAGCTGCCGCTTTTCTGGATGGGGGCTCCGGGACGCAGCTCATCCATGACACAGGCAGACAGGACGNCGACAGCACCCAAGCGTTTCGTGATCTCCTTCATACTCCTCTGCCAGGTCATGGGTTGGCCACCTCTCCGTTTACACCACTCCGAATTGGGCATGGAAAACAGTACTCTCTTCGGCAAACGATGGTTCGGCGTGCGTAACACATGTCCCAACCAACGCAGCTTCTGGTGCTGGAAGTACCCATTACACAACCGAAAACGCGCCATCTAACTGCCTGGTTACGGATTCTCTGACACCAGCCCACACGAGCTATGGTTCTAAGACAACGATTGTCAAACACCTGAAGCGGTCTCAGTTCCGCCGCTCGAATAGGCCAAGTCTCACATCCATAAAACAAAACAGCCCGTACGGTGGCTTCATACACACGTCCCTCCAAGGGATGGGATAAACCATTCTGACACCATAGGTGTGTCAACTTAGCAAACGCGGCCCGAGCCTTGTAGATTCGCGCAAGCAGAACTAACTTCTCAGTGAAACGCTCCACAAATTCCAGTATCTCTCCCTGGATTGTAAGTGGTGTGTCCAATAACTGCACGTCCACGAGCATGACCTTACACTTTGTAGCTGCAAAGTACATACCAAAGGACAGGATGACTTTGGTCAGTTCAGTTCGCATATCTCCTTCAATGTACCTACTATGATACAGAATGTGTTCCCTTATGAAGTTCGACCATATTTAGCCTCGGTTTGTTGATCCTGTTTACTAAACTCAACTTCAATTTGAGTCTTGAGCGTGCCGTCAGATCGAATGCACACAGGATAACTCTGAAAACGGACAATAATATGAGACGGATATCCCTAATTCGCACGCACTACGTTTATGTGGCTAAATCCTTGAATTTTGTCAGCTGCCCTTATATAGGCCATCAGAAACTGCGGCTTTCTTTAAGCATGCATTTCACAAAACCCGTTTAACATTGAAACCGACACCATAGACAGATTCTCTCATAACAGCTAAAGCAGTGATGCTTAGTGAAACGCGAGGATTCAGTTGTCTCCTTCATGTCTTGTCTGTAACAACTTGCCACCATGTGTGAACGTGGTTGGGCTGGTAAAGATCTCGGGAAAAGAGGAGCGAAACGCCATCACAAGCTTCTCCGGGATAACATCCAGGGGATCACCAAGCCGACCGTCTGCCATCTCGCTCGCCGAGGTAGTTTGAAGCGCATTTCCGGTCTGATTTATAAGGAAACCCACGGTGTCCTCAAGGTTTTCCTACACCGAGCACGACAAACGAAAGACCGTCACTGCCATAGACGTTGTGCACGCCTTGAAATGCCAAGGCTTCACTCTCTACGGCTTCGGTGGTTAATTCCACCTCGGTCATTCCTTCCGCACGAGAACGCCACTTGATGCCATCCACTTTTAAATGGACGCTGTCTTCCGTGCGCGGAACCAGAGCCCAAACAAATTCACCAAAATTATTTGCATTGATTACGTGGTTTAAGATACTAGCAGTGTCCGTATGATATAATTTAGTGGGATTTATAACCCGCTAATAATTATTGATCAATATTGCAGATCAGTTTCAATGTGAGTCTTCTCCTCTCGTTACTGATTTGCTCGCGTACCTTGCTGTTACCAACAAGTATTCTTTCAGGAGAATCTTTTCGCTGCACAGGGAATGTTAAAGTCGTCTACATTTGAATGTTTTATTCACACAGAATGCTATTTTCTCAAAAAATCGTTCAACTGTAAAACCCTTCCAGCGCCTAGCTGCTATGCCACCGGAAAAAAGCACGAGGGCTAAGATACTGCCAGAGAGGGGAAGTCGAGAGGCCGAGGTCAGGTTCGAACCATGGACCGTCCGGTCAGTAAATTAGCGCTCTAACCATTTGACCCATCGCGCCCCAATGCTAGTTAGTAACAAAGGAGAAGCTCGAGAGCACACACAAGCATCATAACAGGAGAGATTGATTTCCCATCTGGTCAACAGCTGCCGCTTTTCTGAATGGTGGTCCCGGGAAGCAGCTCACCCATGACACAGGCAGACAGGGCGCAGTCAGTACCCCCCTCCGTGGATTAAAGCTATTACCTTCAACACCTAACTGCCGTGTTCCACAAACTACTCGATTATTCGATTGTCCCCAATATTTGGCTGAATCTTTCAAGCATTCCCATATTCACGTAATGGAAACTGTAGCAGCTGGAACCCAAGTACACTTGGTTCACATAAACTGAGCGCATATTTCTGATTTGCAGGATCATTCTGTTTCAGTCAATTTAGAACTGAGAAGGCATGGCTCACTGGGGTATTACTAGTGTGCTGTGTGCAGGGATACACACACTGCTTCAAAGTTTAGCGGGTTTGGAGCAATTCAGAACACTCTAATTCCTCCAGGTGAACTCAGATGAACCCATAAGGACCTAGTGATCGATCACTTTGATGGGTGCGTCACAGAAATATGATGTGTTCTGGAGTGGTGTCTGGTTTTGAAACCCAAAAGTTACGCGGTTTCAGCCTCCAGCAATCGGACCGCGGTCGGATTCGGTCCAGATAGTCTCATCCTCGTTGGCTGAGGAAGAGAAAAGAGAGGAGCTTCCTGTAGGTGGTTTCTGAAGTACACTTCGACTTTCTTCGCTTTACATCTTACAAATTAGGCAAAATAATTCAAGGCTTCTACTTTAGCCTCAAAGGTTAAAAACACTGCAAAGGAAGCTGTACCAGATAGGCGAAAGCGCATTAATTCCTAGGGAATATACACAGCAAACGTGAGTTGGTACTCGATAATCGTGGTTTATTTGGAAATCAGGACACAACTTACAACGGACACGAGAACGCAGATGGTGGTTTGAACGATGTTCGCAAGCAGAAACTTGTAATGAAAACATGAGACCGTTAGAAACACAAGGCGGCTGAAATGCACTTCTAACTTTCCGTAGCGAATGAGGAGGCACATGAGGATCTATCTGAGATGAACGCATTTTTAAACGGCTTACAGAGTATACCAGTTAGTTAATACTTATGGGTCATGCGTTGTGCTCGAATGGGGCAAATGCACACGTTGCCGGGTGGAGTAGCCGCGGAAAACTGCCTGAATTTTGGTAGCCGCCTCATCGGGATCGGCTATGTGATGGGACGAAGTGTGGTGTTGATGTATCGACTCAGGCA